GCTATGTTTGTTTTAGAATGTATGAACTAATCGAGCCAATCATTCGCGATCATGAATTTCCGAAGACAGCTTGGGGTCGAGCCATAGCAGCTTTTGTATACCATTCGAAGAAAGACTTGGAAGATAGTCAGGTGAGATTCTCAATGCTCGACATCGCAATATTTTCTGAAACTTTTCACTTGAGCTTACCGACGTGAAGCTTCTTGGAACTCGTGATGAGTTACTTCGAATTCTGAAGCGTGGAAGTTCCGCATGCCATGGAGAGCGTGTATATGATAAGGACTTCTACAAAGATGCGTTAGACAAATCCTTGTGGGTATTCCTCTATAGCAATACCACCATATAACTTTGTTTTTTGCTTTCTTGCGTGTTATGAGTAGTATTTAGGCGATTTTTCTCTTGTCATGAGTACAAAGAAAGACTCGTATCTTTTGGGCATCTGAGCAATCGCTATTCCTTCGTTATCAACTCCTTCATTGCTGCAAAGGTGTGATTGCCAGCATTTTCATGTTCAAAAATGAAAATGATAAACTTCAGGATTGCATGCGCGATCATGATCGACTCGTTGAACTAGCTACTTTTTGCGGCCACATCTCTGCTCAAATACCTGCCCTCGCAGATGAATGGGTTCGTTTAATCTTTCCAGTTATAGATTCCATCAAGTTGAATTTCGGTGTTCTAGATTGCGGCCGTCAAAGCCCTTTGTTGCATAAGTACAAATGAGCCTTTAGGTTACGGTAAACTCCTGGAGTGCATAAATGTATGCCTCATTTTCTTTTTTATGCTTGCCATAACTATTTGTTTTAGGTTAATGATAGTTCAACACATTATCCCATCGCTACTTTTGTCATGCTGTTAGCGGCCAAATATGCTTTCAGCGCCTCTGAACTGATAACTGAGCTTTTGAACAGCGCGTTCCCGGTGATCAAAGAGGGGCAGAGCTTAGCCATCGACGAATCTGTTGGTAAGGTTACTCTACATCACCCTAGATGCTGTACGTAATTTTCATTTTCAGCTCACAACAGAAGCGAATATGAACCGCGATTGTGTTTAACGCTTATTATACTTGCTCAGATTGTCTGTGGAACTGATGAACCTTTCTGCAGTAAGTTTTTCTTAATGTTAGTTTTGTTTTGTTCGTTCAAAATATGAGAGAAGTTCTTCAGTGTTGGAGGACAACGTGGGTGCTGCCCCGAAGCTGAAGCTTCTGACAAATTGTGCGGATGAAATAATGTTATCCATGATGCACTGGTATGTATAGGTTCGAGTGTCATAATAACTGCTTTGTCTAAGGAATTCAGGTGCGAAATGGATAATGTTCTGTTTCCTTTGCTCAGCACTATAAGTATTCTGCAGGATAACATAAGAAACGGGAGTGGAAGGTAAGATTCTATTCAGCTTAGGGATATAATCTTGGTTAAAGGCACCGTCCACCCAAAATGGGGTTCATAAGAATTCGTTGTCTAACAGCTGCGGGGCCCTCAACTATTTTGCTGCCCAACTCCCGCTGTCTGAAGTTGCTTCCGAAGC